TAAAAAAAAAAAAAAAGCAGGGTGGGAAAGTATGTGTATATTACCTTGCTTATGTAAACAGAGTATTTCTGGAAGGATATACAACGAATTGACAATGCCTGTTGCTTCCAGGGAGAAAAACTGGACAGCTGGGTGAAGTTTTTTCAATACACACTCTTTTGTATGTCTTAAATTCTAAACCGTGAATTTATAAAAGATATTTTTAAAAATAAGTAAAATATAAAACGTGATAAGCTAGATCTATATGTATCAACCTACACAAGCCTTGAAAAAATTATTGAGTAATAAAAATTGATGAAGGATACTGATATGGCATTTTTCAAAATTTTAAAACATACAATAGGGAAGAAAATGATCAAGTAAGGTACAGGAGGGATACACACCCACTTCAGAAGAGGAATTACCTGCAGGGAGGAGAGGGGTGGAACTGGGAAGAGATATAAAGAGGGCTTTGATTGAAACATTTTTTTCTTCCAAGAAAACATGAAATGATTAAATGGTAGCATTTAGTAAGTATGGCAATGGGTCCTACGGTTGCTAATTATGTTAGTCTCTTTACTCTTCGTAATGAAAAAAATTTTAACAGCAAAAAAATGACATAACAGTATTCATCAAAATAACAGTTACACCACCAAGTGAGAAGTCAAGTAGTGAACATTTACATTCTATATTATTCCCCTTTCCAAACACTTTCCCTAAAATCAGTGCAGAACAGACACCAAGAAAAGGGGACTGAAGAATTGAGGGTGCCAGGCACGTCTCCATCACCGACCTCACTTCCACCACAACTGCCTGAGACAGCTCTGCTCCCTCTGGTCTCTTTACAGACAAGGAGACAAAGGCCCAGAGACATCACAGAGAGATATTAATCTACATAAATCCTTCAGTATGAAATATCAAAGGCCTGTTAAAGGAGGTTGGTAGCTAAAAACTGGTATTTTTAAACAAAATCACACAAGACTTGCATGCAACTGAGAATATACAAACTAAACACTTTCCCAAGAGATGCTCAGCCAAATTCCTAAAGAGATACAAAAGTGGAAAAATCACAGTCTTAACCACAGTAAACCTAATAGCTCAACTTTCTAGAGCATTTAAGAGCCTACTTTACTATATACACATATCCGCATATATGCAGTTGTTATAAATCTTTGATGCCGACAAAAGAGATAAGAGGAATAACTTACCTCTCCTAAAAGACAAATGCGAAAACCATAATAAAATACTTGGCCAGACCACTCCCTGGACACGCTCACAGAATACCTACCGAAATAGCAGGGCTCCTGATGTCTACAGCATAGTCGGCCTCAGAGGGCTGGATGTTCAGTTTCAAAACATTATGCAGAGAAAGTCCTTCTATTCCCAATCTATGCAGACCCTCCATCACCCGAGCTTCATTCCTCAATATATCAAACAGACTAAAAAAATACAAATAGGTATTTAGGAGAAAGGGCTTTAAAAAAAAAATCCTCACCATGAGAAAAATATATCAGTTCAAACTCAATGCCCTATCAAACGAGTTGAGAAATCAAAAGAGGGAGCTCTTCCTTTGTTTCCTTTTGTCCAAATATGCGGAACCAAGTAGGCAGGAGTTGCTTCTTGGCTGATGTTTATTTATACTTATCTACGTATACACTGTGTATAGAAATTATCTGTAAGTATAAACACAATTTGAAGATGAAATAATCCTAAATGTGCATTTTACATTGCATGTTTTTAAAAACACTAAAGTAATCTCCCTGTGATATTTCTTACAACTGCACATGAATCTAAAATTGTCTGAAAAGCTTACCAAAAAAACACCAAAAAATATACTAAATAATATATGTTTAATATATGTTTCAATATCAGCATCAATTCCCACAGGCACACACACAGATGATCACAGAAAATGGTCTGGAGGAATTCACACCCAACTTAAGAGGTTTGCTGGGTAAGGAAGAAGAAATAAGAAGACTGTTCCTTTATCTCTGCATTATTTAAAACTGTTTACAATAAGCAAGTACACAGTTTGCAATACTCTGGAAAATTAAAGAGATTTTTTTAATAAAAAATAAAAACATGGGCAATCTTTTAATGTGTCCTTTACTAATTTTTTACTAGCTCTGAAAGCAGTATATGGACATAAAAGCTCAATTAACAGAATGTGCAAAGTATCTTACTGTGGAAACTGCTTCTTTTAAAGCACTAACCCACCACAGCTTTTGTTTTCACTATTATGAAGCCACAGTATCAACTGTGTCAATTTTAATATCAAAGATAAAATCAGAATTCTACCTGTCTTCTGCACCCAATCCCCAAAATTCATAAGGAAAATTTAAAGCAATTTAGTCCTAAACCACATTTTAACAAAACAAAAAGGTATCAAATAATATATGTAAGACATCACCTTCTGAGACACCAGAGGCCACATTTTGCATAAACCTACTTCATACTGTTCTCAGAAACAAAAGAACCTGCTCTCTTCTGTTTCTATGGTTAACAGGAAAACTAAGGCTCTGAAAGGGCACCCTCAAAAGACACCTGGGCCTTAAATGTCCAAGGCATCAGATGTACATTAGGATAAAATTGGCCAAGTATCATCCTGCCCATCCCAGCCAGAACATGGGCCTACCTAAATGCACATACTGGGCCTGATAAGTCATCAGGCTTTGCAACCTGTCACATCAAGGAGAAACAACAGTCTGGACATGTCATAAGGAGCCACACATTATAAAAACTTTTCAGGGTGAAAAATATTATCCATACCTGAATATATCCTGCGTCTCTAAATCAATATGAAGCCCATTGATGAACAGTGCTGAATCTCCAGGCTGTAACCCTAAAGTTCCCTTGAAATACTGAAATATTAAAAACTTATTAAGGAGCAGGAAGAAAATATTTAACAAAAATTTCCATGTTTCTGGTTTTATTATACATACAAATGTTGACAATGATTAATACAACTGTTTCCTACAATACTGGGGATAGGGAGAGGGTTAAATAAGCCAAGCACGGAGAGTTACTTTTCGGCTGCCCTTCCCTGTCTGTGATGCCAGCCAAGGTTGTGCTAGCAGTCACTGACAGCTGGGCCTCCTGGATGAAGTCCAGGGATCCGATCTAAAAGGGTTTCAAAACCCCACACCTCCCTTAAACTTTCAAACTAAGGCACGCCAAGAAACTTTGAGTTGCTGAGCTAAGGACAGCACCTACATACACCCAAGCTCTCCAAGACCACCTCCACGGGGCCCTTCAACTGCTGCTCTCTGACGCGGTGGAATGCATGTGACCGTGCAGCCCCTGAAGCCCTCAGGCCCGCCTGACCCACTGGAAACACTGCTTTGATGCCGTATCATACACAGCTTCTGTTGGCTTATATCCTTTCCAATCAATTCCTCTTTCTCTGCAAGGAAACTGGAACGGCTGATCACATATTCAACACCACACAGTAGAGAACGGAAGAAACGTATCAGATACTAGGGAGAGAACACGGATCCCTTAGCTCTCCCAGGGCTGGGGGAGAGGGGCAGGGATCGCTGAGCTCCCTTCACTCCCCCTCACTCAGTGGACAGAGAGAAATGAACTCTTAAGATCTAGGACTGCATGGGAAAAACACAAAACAATGCAGAAGCCATGGCTTTTGCTTCTCTGCCCTGCCAGGATAAAATGGCAAGGAAGATAAGGGGATCACAGAAATTTGCATCAACGAGAATCAGAATTTCTTACAAGGGAAAGAAAAACTCCACGTCCACTCATTCCCAGGCTGCGAATACAGCACCCTGTGACTGGGGGAAAGACTGACTGGGAACTATGTGAAATGAAACACAACAGAGGATGGGGATCCCATTCTGAAAACAGGGGATTGCACGGAAGTTACCAAATGCTCTGCCCTACTGGACTTCTACAACTCCGGCAGCCAGACCTCACCCTCCCGGCAGAATATCGGAAGATCCTTTTCGGGAGACTAAAAAGCTCAAGAGGAAAGGTTTAAAGATTCTGTCACTGGAGTTCCTGGGAAACGACCATACCACCACAGCCTACAGTCACAAAGACACATCCTTCGGGCTTTCAATCAGTTTTTTATTGCCTCACTCTCTAATATGAGCAGTTAGCGAGAGATCACCAGACATCTAAGGAAAGCCTCTAACATTAAAGACAAGAGAACAAAAAGAAAGGCAACTTAAGAGGGAACAGACCATGCAGAGAAAAGAAAACACATACATGAACCATCAATATCTTCAGAAGGATAAGACAACACCATAAAAAGAAGAATTCAAGAATAACCCTTGTAAATTAAAAATTTGACAACTAAAGAAAGAAATCTCAACAAGTGGTCTGAAAATCCTTCCCAGAAAGTTTAAAAATAAAAGACAAAAGATCTGGAAAACAGAAAATAAAAGATTTTTAATTAGGCCAAACTAGTCAAGGAGATATAACATCTTAAGAATAAACAGGAATTCTAGGAAAACAGAAAAGAGAAACCAAAAGGAAGAAGAAATGCAAAGAAATATGTCCAGAAAATTTCCCAATACTAAAGGAAAGGATTTTCCAGATTTAAAGGGCCCACCAACCACCCAAGAGTACAAAGACTTTTTAAAAAGGCATTATCACTATGGAATTTCAGATTACTAGGGTCAAAGAAAAGACCCTACATGATTCCAGAAAGAAAAGCCAGATCTCATACAAAGGCTTCAGACTTCTCAAAAGCCATAATGGAATCCAAAATTCCAAGGAGCAATGACTTCAAACTTCTAAATGACTTCCAACCTAGAATTCTATACCCAGCCAAGCTATCAAAAACAGAAATGGAAGGGACTTCCCTGGCAGTCCAGTGGTTAAGACTCCACGCTTCCATTGCAGGGGGCATGGGTTCGATCCCCAGTTGGGGAATTAAGATCCTTCTTGCTGCTCAGCGCAGGCAAAAACAAACAAACAAAAAAACAAAATGGAAAACTGATTTCTCAGAGTCTGAAATTTACCTCACATGCAACCTTTCTCATGAAGAATGATTTGCTGCACCAAAATAAGGGAGTAAACCAAAAACAAAGAAGACATGGAATCCAAGAAATAGGAGATCCGAAAAAAGAGGTTAAAGGAAGGTCCCAGGATAACTGGTATGTACTAGACATAAAGAACAACCAGTCCATAGTGAAGCAGATCAAAAATTGATAAAACCATGACAAAAACACAGGGATGGTAGAAATATGGGGAAAGTGCCAATAGGGAGTACTGGTAGACAGTGGGAGAAGTGGGGAGAGCAGTGAAAGAAAGTCAGACCTCATCCTTGTAACAGAAGGCCAATACATAAGAATGGAAACTGAGAAAGTACCAATTTAAGCTTGCTGGAATCTGGAGATAAATATCCAAAGAATCAACTAGGAGTTGAAAGCAGATGCTTCTGGGAAGGGGTTCACACAGGGAGTGAGACATGTTGGCAGGGGTGCTTTTTTCTAAAGAAACAGGTAGCACCATTTGATGCTTTGAATTATATATTCATATTCAACTTTGATTAACTACTGAAAGTATAAAAAAGATTACAGAAATGAATCAAAATACCATCGTCTTTAATAAAAGAAGAGCAAAACTATTAAATGTCACTGATTTAACTCACATTTCCGCATCTTTAAAGATATAAACAAAACAGAAAGGCCACTATTTTCCATCGGTTAATACCTTCTGATTCTCTTCCACTTCGGTTCTAAGTTCTGTACTCACGGCTGTTTTTGTTATTGCTCTAAGGAAATAAAAACATTATCAGTGCTTAGTTTAGTATTTGATATAAAAGACTTCAATTTCCCTATACGAAACAACACATTGCTCCAAAAATTACAAAAAACTAAATGGAAAAAACCTTAAACCTTTACAATTGGTAAATATATTTCTCCTCTCAGATGTGTGTATTTGTTTATTATCACAAGATATAAAACCAAGGAAAACTAACAGTAATAATTGCACTTTAATGCGAGTGCAGTTATTTCCAAGATCTTAGTTAAATATATGTAACTCTATTCCTGTATATGATCTCTACAGCTCACAGGCTAAGGATATTGTTCAATAAGTTAAGGCAGCAGACTGTTCAAGCTATTTAAGCACATGTATATCTTCAACAGCATGCTTGATTAAATGATAATGTACTATATGATTCTTAAGTCCTGTCTAAGAAGTATTTTCCCAAGACTAATCAAATAAACAAATTTACATCTCATATCAGAAGTCAAAACACCTCATTCAGTGACTCAAGAAAAGGACTGACAATTATTTAAGTTTCTGAAAATGTGGCTTTTAAAACAGGTTTGCCTTGTATTTATGAGATGTGGAGGACCATTATACAATTGAAAGCAATAGCAGAAAAGCTGCATTCAAAATCTTAATCTGTCACTATGAACAAGTCAGTCTCTATGATTCATTTCCTTCATCAAGAACGAGTAAGATGATTGCTTCCCTGGTGGCACAGTGGTTGAGAGTCTGCCTGCCAATGCAGGGGACACGGGTTTGAGCCCTGGTCTGGGTAGATCCCACATGCCGTGGAGCAGCTGGGCCCATGAGCCACAATTACTGAGCCTGCACGTCTGGAGCCTGTGCTCCGCAACAAGAGAGGCCGCGATAGTGAGAAGCCCGCACACCACGATGAAGGGTGGCCCCCGCTGCCACAACTGGAGAAAGCCCTGATGCAGAAACGAAGATCCAACACAGCCATAAATAAATAAAATAAAATAAAGAATGAGTAAGATGATATATAAGAAACTCTTCAGGAAGAAAAACACCGGAGTCCATGCCAGACCCTAAGTTAGTTACATCTGCATACATTAAATTTTGTTAACTCATCTAATCCTGAAAGGTAGGTGTTGTTATTTCTGTTTTACTGCTGAGGAACGTGATTATTTACAAAGTTCACACAACTAGCAAGAGGCAGTGCCAGGAACACAACCTAGACTGCTCTCTTCAACCACACAACACACAGGGGCTTGTCGCCTTCTCGGGAAGATGGGCCATTAACAGTACAGTGCTGGTAGTAAGACAACTTTAATTTCCTAAGCATTTTCATATTTTAATGGCTTCATTTTATGCATAAACATGAAGATAATTAGGCATATGTTAAAAAGAAGAATGTCTCAAAGCCTTATTACTCTATGTTACCTGGCTTTGGTAGGAAAATTTTGACTAAGATCCTTCATAATCACCAGAGCTAACTCAATAGGAGCAGCCAAGATTCGGGCAGCAGTCTGAAAACTTAGATCTGCAACAACATCAAACGTAAGTTAAAGTGTATTCATCTACAGCAATGAGAAAGAAATAGGAAAAAAGCACATTTATTTCCCACTATTTTCTTGGTAATTAAGAATGCCCTAGGATGCCATTTCAAAGCATGCCCATGGTTGAAATGAAGGTTTTACTCACTTCATAGGCCCCTAGAGTGTTTACTGTAGCCGTTCCTTGATCTGCCTGCATAAACACTAAGGCATATACCAACACATTTAGCACAGGATTAATCCACCCCAAATTCTTTTCCTTCTTCTGGATTTACAACATAACACAAAGTACAGCAAAAGACTTTAGTAAATTATGCTGGGAAAGAAAACCTTGATACATAGTTCTTTGGACCAGAAAAGCACACATACATCCTGCCATACTGACATGCCTTTAACATCCAAATGTGTAATAAATGTATACATATAGAAACAAAAAGATTAAAACAAACTTGTTTCTAGTATTACAAGCTTATGCACCTGGTCACACAAAGAAAGATCTGGTAACTCATATACAAATATATATTACTCTGCAGAGTGTTATTTGTCTACAAAAGGACTTTCTTCCTTTGTTTTCTAATAAATCAGGATTAATCACATGATCCTTAAAATTTGTGAATAAATACAATTAAATTCAAATTGTTTTTTTAAATACGATAAAATTTAGAATGATTCCTCTACGTTTTTATTACCTTGCAATTGCCAAACTTTTAAAGGTGCCATTTCATTGGTGCTCTCAACGAGATGCTTTCTGAGTTCTTTCAACTGTCCCTTCAGGTCAGGGTGCAGGTCTCTGAAAGAAACATAAAATCAATCCTTTTCAGGTGTATTTTCTTTCCCAAAGCACATTTAGAAGTTGACCCCAAATTTATCTTCACAACTCTCCCCACTTAGTAACAGGAAAATTCCTACAATATAGGAAAAATATTAAATTTTTCTTAAGAAACAAGTTAGTATAGAAAAGTATGAGTTAATTTAAAAACCATAAAATTTACAGATTAAAAAATGAATCACTACAACAGTGACTCTCTATGTTGGGGGAGGGAGAGGAGTGGGACTGAGAGTACAGAACACAGGGGACCTCAACTCTACCTGCTGTGTTTTACTCACCTTGGTTCTTTCTTTCTTCAAGTAAAAGAAGGTGTTATGTTGCAGGAAAAAAAACCTTGATAAACAATTCTTTGGTACAGAAAAGCAAGTACGATAGAAACAGTCAATTCTGGGTGGTGAGTACAGGGGTATGTTATATTATTCTCCATCCTTTGCAGAACCTTTTTAATTTCTCAAAATAAAATTGGAAATACCTTGCTTCCAATCCCAAAATGAGTTTCTTTCAGCTACATGCTCATAAATCCTTTAGTCACATGAATATAATTCAAGCTAACCAAGATTATTGCGTTTTGTTTAGTTTTATCTTGAAATACAGTGCATTCTATTTAAAGTTAGTAAAACAGAAGTTTTCAGCGGCAGAGATAGATCATTTAGATCAGACAGACAGATGGAACAGAGTAATCCTGTTTTTAACACTAAAAACTCAAAATTTCTTAAATGCAACCTGCCGAAAGTAAAATATTTACTCAGATCCTTCACCATCCCACCAATCCATTCCAGTTACTACACTTTTCTTCATGATAAAAATACCTTAAAATGGGTCACTTACTTTAGATAGTTAAATAACTATTCTGAGTGTCCAAAAAGGAAATTGTCTTCAATATTCTACATACTACCTTTGTGCTATAAACACATGAAATCATAATGCTATCCAGAAAACAAACATATAAAGCATGAATATGAAAAGGGATTCTGGAAACCTGGATGCAGTAAAATGGAACCTGACTGCATATTAATAAGGCCATAACTGATGTTCAACACAAAGAAATGTGCATTTGCACAGGATGAACTCAACATATGCACAGTCAGTCACTCAACATCAACAGTCATCTGTACTAAACTGTTAGTCTAGCTGTCATTTCACTGGGTCAAATGTTAAAGCTAAAATATATGAAACTGCACCTACACATGCTATTTCTATTAAAAAAAAAAGCACACCATATATGTCCTAATTAAGATTTCCAGATAAAGCAGAATTCAGGGCTCTGAACAATGATCAAATCATAACAGAAATAACTGCAGCATTTAAAATAACAGCTAAGAACATTTTTCAGCTATAAAATTCTATTATGCTTTCATAAAACAGTTATGGAATTTTCTTCAAAAAGCCACTTCCTATCCTCTTTCATATAAAGCAAACTGTAATAAAATGTATTTCAACTGAACATATATAAAATCTACCACACCTCCTACTACAATTCTTTTGCAATTTTTCAAACTATGTTTAGTATAAGTAAATAGCTATAAATACAACATTGTAAATCAACTATAATTCAATAAAATAAATTTTTTTTAAAAAAGAGATAAGAAACAAACAAGTAAAAAAATAAATAAATAATAGCTATGACCTCTCTACCGTAAAATACATTTGATTTTCCTCAGGAAAAGAATGCATAAAACAATTACATTTCTCCTATTATGTGAATCAAAAAATGGCATGTAACTTTACGCTATCAACTGCAAGGTCCAGAAAATAAATCAATTTAAGCCATAAGCAGGCAGCCATAGTATCATGTAAGAATAATGTGCTTCAGAATTACCAGAAATCATAAACTGTACTACAAACTAACTGGTCATCTCCTCATATCAGATTACATACATAAAGTATTGTTGAGAGATCCGTAACTCAGGCAGTAAAGAGAAAGATGATGCTTACAATGTGAAGAAGGCTGGAGGTTTAAAGAGAATAAGACCCTATCCCAAAAGAATATACATACCTTAATCTTCCAAAGAGAAATCCTTGAACTTCATCAATAGGATCATTTTCACCAATCACTGTGGTGTTAACTTCAGTTGCTACAAAAGCACAGCAAATACATGTCTAATCACTCAGATTAGAAAGAAAAATATTAACTTCATAGAATTTGAAAAAAATTTGAAACACCTGAAACTATAATAGATTTAAAATGTTGAATACCTCAACTAACATAGTGGTTAACAAACACACACAATAAATGAGTTTTTGGTATATCCTGTGTTCCTGGATAAAGAAAGAATGTGTTTTTCCTTAAACTGTGGAAATTTTTACATGTTAAATATTTCAAAATCAATACCTTTAAAATTATGAATAACGGACATTTCAATATCAAAATTCTGAGGAATTTGCAACTAGGCAACTTAATCCTAAATATAATTATTGAGGACAGGATAGTGAAGTACTAGGCTATCCTCCATGTACTAAAACCAATCATTTTTACTTTTAAAACAAGCTCAAAAGACATAAAAAGATTACGCATAAAACTTGTTGAAATAATGAATTCAAAACCCTAGAATATTACAACAGGCAGTATCCACAGTAAACTGTTCCAAGTGCAGAAAATAATATAAAAACATGAAACTGTTTGTTAATTATATGATAGCTTAAGATTTCACATTGGGTCACAAATTAATTACTATTTGTGAACTACCTATCATCAATAACAATAGCTACTACTTACTGAACTCTTTTGTGAAAAAAACTTCGTTAAATTCTTTACCTCTACATCTTATTTTCTCCTCAAAAATACTTCAAGAGGCATATATCATTATCTGAACTCTACAGAGGAAAAAATTAGGACCTAAAGAATTTGTCACCCAACTCAGATATAACAGAACCAAGATTCAAACATAGGTTCATAATACTCCTAAATCTATTCTTTTTCATTAAAGAAACAAATTCCCCTTTAACTCATATTTAAAGAAAAGAAAACACACTGGTCTTAATTTACAAATTCACCTTTCACCTGAGTATCATCCTTGGCCTTGTACTCAGTGCTCTTAATGGCCAACTCCACACCATAGCCAGAGAGGTAAACAGGCTCCTTCCTGGGATTCTGCAAGCAGAGCAAGTATTCCACCATCACCACTCAGCTCTTCACGCATTCCCACCTAGCTCTTTACGCATCACAGCATACGGAGCCTGACCATGTTAATGTCACATAGCCATCACCTAGGATTACACACTCAAAACATGCTTGAACTTCCATGGGAATCCTTAGATTGTGGATCCTGCCACAAGGGTGAGAACGGGAATTCCAAGGTAGAAACAAAACCAGATGAAGGGGGCTTCCCTGGTGGTGCAGTGCTTAAGAATCCGCCTGCCAATGCAGGGTACACAGGTTCGATCCCTGGTCCGGGAAGATACCACACACCACAGAGCAGCTAAGCCCGTGCACCACAACTACTGAGCCTGCGCTCTAGAGCCTGTGAGTCACAACTACTGAAGCCCGCGTGCCCTAGGGTCGGCACTCCGCAACAAGACAAGCCATCAAAATGAGAAGCCTGCACACCGCAACAAAGAGTAGCCCCCACTGGTCACAACTAGAGAAAGCCCACCCGCAGCAACAAAGACCCAAGGCAGCCAAAAGTAAATTAAAAAAAAACAAAAAACAGATGAAGGGATAGTGGAAAGTGCAAAGGTCATCAAACCATGTGAAGAAATGGAGAAAACAAAAAAGCAGTTCCGGGGCCTCCCTGGTGGCGCAGTGGTTGAGAGTCCGCCTGCTGATGCAGGGGATACGGGTTCGTGCCCCGGTCCGGGAGGATCCCACATGCCGGGGAGCGGCTGGGCCCGTGAGCCACGGGCGCTGAGCTTGCGCATCCGGCAACGGGAGAGGCCACAACAGTGAGAGGCCCACATATCGCAAAAAAAAAAAAAAAAAAGCAGTTCCGGAACCTACGCAGGGTTGAAAACTGGTGAGGTTTCAAACCTAGAAGTACTTTATTGAGACCATGTGTGTAGATGTGTGTGTGTGTGTACATTTTTTTACTGACTTTAAATGTCTTCAGGCAGGGTTTGGGCTGACCTAATGTCACAGGCTTACCATCATCCTGAATGAGGATAGCTCTTTAAATGCCAGCAACAGGGACTTCCCTGGTGGTCCAGTGGTTAAGAATCCACCTTCCAATGCAGGGGACGCAGGTTTGATCCGTGGTTGGGCAACTAAGACCCCATGTGTGGCGGGACAACTAAGCCCGCGCACTCTAGAGCCTACACGCCACAACTAGAGAGAAGCCCACATGCCCCAACGAAGAGCCCACGTGCTGCAACAAAAGATCCTGCGTGCCGCAACTAAGACCTGACACAGCCAAATAAATAAATAAATATTTTAGAAAAACAGCAACAGAGCAAGGCGGGTGGGGGCGGGGTCCAAAACTGGATACTGATAAATCTGTTTCTGCTCACATAAATTTTCATTTAAAATTTTTATTTTACTTTCCCATGGACTTAACATCTGATATTTACTGAGCTTAATATGACACAGAAACTTTAAAGGCCAACAATCTTTACATATAAATATTTTAAATGCTAAATGCCACACAAGGTTTCGAAAGCTTAATTTTAAATAAACTCTGCCTGAGTTTACCTCTTTAGAAATCCTCCTTTTTCTATCAAATAAAAAGATGCCAAAAAGAAAAAAAAAGGGTTTGGAAAGGAAGTGAATTCAAGAATCAGTTCCATAGTATGATGACCATATTAAATCTGGACCAAATTAAATATAATTTACATGGTTCATTTTGAAATAGAACGTAGGGAATTCCTTGGCGGTCCAGTAGTTAGGACTCTGCGCTTTCACTGCCCAGGGCCCTGGGTTCAATTCCTGGTCAGGGAACTAGGATCCCAGGAGCCACATGGCATGGCCAGGAAAAAAAAAAAAAAAAAAAAAAAAAAAAAAACCTGAAAAAAA